CATCATCACTCATCATCAGAAAAATCATCAGCAGCATCACTCGCATCATCAGCAGTATCAGAATCATCATCATCAGCATCATCACCAGCATCAGCATCATCATCAGCAGCAGCATCATCAGCATCATCCGCACGGTCATCACCATCATCAGCATGAGCAGCATCATCATCGCCTGCGTCATCATCATCATCATCAGGATAAGATCATCATCGTCATCATCATCAGCATAAGCAGAAGCATACGCATCATCATCATCAGCAGCAGCATCATCAGCAGAGGCATCATCAGCATCGGCAGCATCGTCATCAGCAGCCTCATCATCAGCAGCACCATCATCATCGTCATCGGCATCGTCATCATCATCACCATCAGCATCATCATCAGAATCGTCTTCACCAGCATCAGCATCATCACCATCATCATCATACTCATCAGCACCATCAGTCAAATCAGCATCAGCATCATCAGCATAATCATCAGCAACATCAGCGGCATCATCATCGCCACCATCAACAACAACATCATCAGCATCATCAGCATCACCGTCATCAGCATCATCAGCTTCCTCATCAGCATCATCAGAGTCATCAGAATCAGAATCGTCGTCGTGATCATCAGCAGCAACATCCTCATAATCATGATAGTCAGCTTCATCGTCATCATCATCGCAATACTCATCGTCATCATCAGCCGCCTCACCGTCATCAGCATCAGCTGTATCAGCATCAGCATCAGCATCATCATCAGCATCATCGTCATCATCAGCAGCAGCATCAGCACTACCATCATGAAAGCATGCATCATCGTCATGAACAGCATCATCATCAGCATCAGCAGCTGCATCATCATTGCTATCATCATCATACCCATCAGACGCATCATCATCATCATCATCATCATCATCATCATCATCATCATCTGTATCATCATCATTATTATCATCCCCCTCATCAGCATCACTATCAGCATCACTATCAGCATCAACAGCATCATCGTAAACATCATCATCATCAACGGCAGCATCATCATCATCATCAGCAGTATCAGCATCAGCATCAGCATCAGCATCATCAGCATCAGCATCAGCATCGTCATCATCATCTTCAACATCGTCATCATCAGCATCATCAGCGTCATCATCCTCATCAGCATCATCAGCATCATCATCCGCATCATCATCATCGTCATCAGCATCCCCATCCTCATCCACATCCTCATCATTGTCATCCTCATACGCGTCCTCGTCCCCGTCCTCATCCTCATCCTCATCCTATGCGTTCGCCCCTTCCTCCTCCACCACCACCACCATCTCCTCCTCCTCCTCCGCCTCGCTCATCCGCATTGCTCCTCCTCCTCCTCCACCTTTTCCTCACCACTTCTCCACTTCCTCCTCCTCCTCCCCTTGCCCCTCCTCCTCTCCTCCTCGTCAGCTTCCTCCTCCGCCTCCTCCTCAACCACCACTTCCTCCTCCCCCTCCGCCTCGCTCCTCCGCATTGCTCCTCCTTTTCTTCCTCCTCCTCCTCCTCCTCCTCTTCACCTCCTCACCTCCTCCTCCTCATCCTCTTCCTTCAGCTCCTCCTCATCCGCCTCCTCATCCTCCTCCTCCCCCTCCTCCTCCTCCTCCTCCTCCTCGTCCAACTCTTCCTCCTCCTCATCTTCCTCGTCGTCCTCCTCCTCCGCCTCGCTCCTCGTCGCTCCATATCGCTCCTCCTCGCTCCTCCTTCTCCTCATGCTCCTCCCCCTCCTCATCGTCCTCCTCCTCGGCCTCATCCTCCTCCTCGGCCTCCTCCCCCCCGTCAGCGTCGTCAGCATCGTCACCATCGTCAACATCATCACCGTCATCGTCAACAGCATCCGTATCAACCTCAACATCATCAGCAGCAGCATCATCATGCGCATCATCAGCAGCAGCATCAACAGCATCGTCAGCATCATAATGATAATAGCAGTAAGAATAAGAACAACAACAACAACAACAACAAGAACAACAATCGCAACAACCATGCCAATAACAACAACAGTAAAAAATGATACTACTCATCATCATCATCATCATCATCATCATCATCATCATCATCATCATCACCATCATCATCATCAGCATCATCATCATCATCACCATCATCATCATCATCGTCATCATCAGCAGCAGCAGCATTGTCATCATCATAATCATAATCATCAGACTCGACATCCTCATCATTGTCGTCAACATCAGTATCATTAGCATCAGCAGCATCATCAGCAGCAGCAACAGAAGCACCATCATCATCAGCATCATCATAATCATCACCATCATTATCATCAGCATCACCATAATCAGCATCAAGATAATTATCTGAATCAGCATCATCAGCATCATCATCAGCAGCAGCATCATCAACATCAACAACAACAGCATCAGCATCGTCATCAGCATCAGCATCAGCACCATCAACAGCATCATCAGCATCATCATCATCGTCATCGACATTATCAGCAGCAGCATCATGATCATCATCATCAACAGCAGCATCATCAGCAGCATCATCAGCAGCAGCAGTATTATCATCAACATCAACATCATCATCAGCATCAGCATCATCAGCCTCATCATAAGCAAAATCAGCATCGTAAGCATCAGCAGCATCATCAGCAGCAGCATCAGCATCAGCATCATAAAGAGCTATCGTCATCATCGTCAACGTCATCATCACCATCAGCGCCATCATCATCACCACCATCAACATCAGCAGCATCATCGTCATCAGCATCATCAGCATCATCAGTATTATAATCATCGTCGTCAGCATCATCATCATCATCATCATCATCATAATAATCATCAGCATCACCACCATCATCATCAACATCATCATCACCATCAGCACAATCATCATCATCATCAGCAGCAGCATCGTCATCGTCGCTAACATCATCAGCAGTAGCATATGCATCATCATCACCAACATCATCAACATTATCAGTATCATATTCATGAGCACCGTCATCATAAGCATCATGAATCATCAGCATCATTAGCAGCATCAGCATCATCAACAGCAGCATCATCATCGTCGTCATCGCCATTGTCATCATCATCATCGGCAGCATCAGCATCATCATCATCAGCAGCAGCATCATCATGGTCATCGTCATCACTGTCATCACTGGCATCGTCGTCATCTTCGCCATCGTCGTCATCATCATCAGCAGCATCATCAGCGTCATCATCGGCAGCGCCATCATCATTATACTAAGAATTGTATTCATTGCCACCACCATTACGATCATCATCATCATCATCATCATCAGCAGCAGCATCATCATCATCATCATCTGCATCTCCATCGCTAGCAGCAGCCGCGACCACACCACCGTCGTCGTCGGCATCCGCAACATCATCAAGCAACACCATCAACATCACCATCTGCATCATCGTAATCATAAGCATGCTCGGCATCGTCAGCTACAGCATCATTAAAATTTGTCATCGTCGACATCCTCATCGCTCCTCCTCGCCCTTGTCCTCACACTGGGCCTTATCTGAATCGCTCGCCCTCTTTCTCATCCTCGCTCATGTCAAATCCTCATCGCGCATCCTCCCTCCTCCTCCTCCACTCCCAGGGAGGCAACACCCTCGAGTGTCGTCGTTACCAACCTCATCATCGCCCTCGGCGCTCCGTCGCCCCCTCCTCCTCCTCCCTTCCACCTGCCTTCTCGCATCCCCCTGCTTGCCATCTTCCTCGACGGCGCGCCGCAGGCGTGGAGGGCGACGACAGGGGCGAATAGTCCAGGGGCGGGCATTGCACGTATTCGCCCGGGAGCCTCGCCGAAGACATGAAGATTTTGGCGCCCCTGGATACACGTGCTGCTCCCCCCCTGGGCTGTTCGCCCCTGGCGTACGGCGCCCGCCACGCGCGCCCGGCGCGCCTCGGATACCACGCAGTTCGTGATCATCCACGCGCTCTCGAAGGTGGTGACCTCACTCAGGATGAGGTCTGGCGCGCGGTTGAGCATCGTTTATCCGACACCCATCTCCAGCGGCGTGGCCTGGGCCCAACTGGCCGATTTACCCCCCTAGATGGGGATATAGGCAGTATCCTTCGGGTTTCGACGGGTGTATCCCCAACTGGCGGGGTAATTTGGTGGGGGTCTCGAAGGGGATGGGGATGGGGATGGGGGTCGGTTAAACGATACCGAGCGGTGGGAGGGTCCGAGGCCAGAGCCCGCACGAGCAGCCGCCCCCCGAGGAATTGGTGTCCGAGCACCCCGGGAGGCACTGGACGTGTATGCTCGCTGGGCCAACAGATGCTAATATCCACTGTATTGTGGGTCCTGAGGCATCGGTTCCCCAGGCGGAGGATCTGCATGAATTGAGCTCAGCGATGGGTTTGAGAGTGGCATGCAGAGAGAACAAAAAAGAGCACAAACACGATGTCTCGGAGGTGCGCCCTAGTTCCTTGGATCGGCGCTGGGCCCCACCGCCCTGACGCACTTCGCGCGCCAGGGGCGGCGCGAGAGGCGCGGCCAGGGGGGCCCAGCGCCGATCCCAGAAATCAGCGCGGACCTACGAGAAAGTACCCGTCGGTCGGGTAGAAAAATGAAGCAGGAAGGCATTGAAAGTAGATTGGGGTTCCGCCCGCCCCCCGAAGAGGAGGGAAGAGGTAAAACCACTCGACCATTGAAGTAGGAAGGCACGAATTGTAGATCAGGATCTGGGAATCCCAAAATACCTCCTTTCCACGACCGACGGCTACGTTTGTGCCGTCTGCTGTCCTCCGATGGAAGAGTAGACATCGAGCACCCGGAGGGTCGAGGCGCTGGGCCCCAATCGGGGTCACTGTGGCCCTCTCAAGGCTACCTCGTCGCAACGGCTGGCTCCGCCTCCAGAGATTTCCTCCTCCTCATCATCGTCATCATCCTCCGCCCCCTCCTCCTGTTCCTCCTCCTCCCCCCTTTTGCTGCTCCTCCTGCTTCTCCGCCTCCTCCTCCACCGTCGCACCTGGCCCTGAACTGGTCCATACCCTTAGCCCCTTGCTCCATCAATTCATCCTCTGTCACCCCACCCCCTCCCTCACTGACTCCTCCCTACGCGTGAACAATGGGGAGAACGAGGCCCAACATGCTTCGAAAGCACAGAACGACTCCCAGGAGGAAAAGGCAAAATGAAAAGGAAGGAAGAAGAGAAAAATGCGGAGGTCCAACAACTGCCAAGAACGTCCGCAAACCTCAAAGAAGACGGAGGGGGGATGGGGAGGGGGGGAGGAGGAGAAGAAGGAGGAGGACAAAGAGGAGGAGGAGGAGGAAGAGAAGGAGGAGGAGGAGGAGGAGGACGAGGAGGAGGAGGAGGAAGGGTAGGAGGAGGAGGAGGAAGGAGGAGGAGAAGCAAAGCAAGCAAGCAGCGCCTCCGGAGGGTGTCGACACAGTCTGAAGCCTCGGCACACATACAAAAGCGGCGAACCGTCTTTGACGCCGCCGACTTCCCACCTGACGTTCGCCATGGTCGACAAAGTTGTTGTTGTCGTCCCACGCGTGGCTGAGCAGCACGGGCTCCCACCCACCCCCCTACCACGGCTGGTTTCCCACGCTTAAAAGGCAGGGATGGCCGTAGGGATGGGCAACAATGATGGATTGGCACACGACACTAAGTCAAAGAACCCCCTGGCGGGCAGAGGACGAGAAAGGAGGAGAGGAGCCAGCCAGCCAAGCGGGCAAGCGCACGCACGGAGCGCAAGCGAGGAGACTAGCGAAGCAAGGGGGCAACGGGAGAGCTCAGAACACGGCGAGCCGCAGCAGCAACCGCCAGGAGGAGCGCTTAAAGGTTGGACGGCATCTCCCAGAGGGCCCTGAAACGCGCCAGGCCCACGGAACAGGAGACAAAAGAAACCAGCACAGCGGGTCAAAATCGTCCACGGAAGCTACAACACGGCCCGAGTCCAGGACCCAGGAATAGATCAAGGGCTCCGCGGTCTCAGCCCCGGAAGATTCAATCTGCGACTAAAAGGGAGGGATCTCAGACGAAGGGGCGGGAGTCTGGTGGACGCTGGGGCTGGCGGCAACACGAAGAGACGGAATGGCGCTAGCCTCCTCAAGCCCCCTGGACTCACTGGAAGTCGTTAGCCTCTGCATTGGCGGGGTGGAAATCGGAGTTCTACTGTCCTGTGCCCCCGATCGTAGCGGCGAAACTGGCGACGACGGAGATGGACTCCGGCCAGTCGATGGCCCCTGGGCTCCCGAAGTGGATAGCGACTGGGCTCTGCGTTGGGAAGTAAGTGTCGGCGGCGAAATCGGAGGAGAGGGGCCCACAGTCTGTAGGGTGTCTGTTGGGAACCCGCGCTGCTAGCGAAGCTGGGCCTCCCACTGGCAAGCCAGTCAAAGGCGTCGCAGCGTGGTCCGTGTGCTGCGCTGGCAGTCTGCAGGGTTGACTGTTGGGGTTCCATGCTGCTAGCAAAGCTGGGCCTCCCACAGGCAATCCAGGCAAAGGCATCGCAGCGTGGTCCCTGTGCTGCGCTCGCCCTCTTGTCCACTGTTAGGTCGTCATGCCGCCGAGATGAACCTGCAGGAGCCTCGCGCTGCGGGGGCGAGGCGGGGCCCCGCACTTGTGGACCTCTCCCAACTGCACCAGCGCATCCACCACGGCCTGTTCGAGGTCGGGGGGGGTCTGCCGACAGGCACAGCTCGACATTGTCGCCCCGATACGTTGGCTGGGCCCTGCAATGGCAGATTTCGCGCGCCAGGTTCGCGCTCGCACTCTTCTCGTGGGCGACCTTCTCCTTGCACGCATTGATCGTCTGCAAGTTGGCCTGTCCAATCCGTTCTCCCTGACCAATCGATGCGCCTATCAGCGCCATCCACAGATGTGGGTGCGGGATCCCGAGCTGCCCCAGCTCGGCCACTGGCTGCCCCGCCTGGATCTCCTCCTTGCGGTCCTTCCGAAGACGCGCGGCCTCCGCACCGTAGAACTTCGCCGTCACCTGCATGGCCATGATAACGTCGTGCTTGGCGAGCATCTGCACGCGGTGGCACGCGGCGGCCTCCGAGTGGTTGATAGCGTTCTCGTGTCGGAGCGCGACCCTCGCCGATATGCGGGCGATCGCCTGCATCCAGTCGATCGGCATCCTGTCGAGCTGGTCGACGTCTCTCTGCGCCAGTCCGTAGTGGTTGTCCGTGGCGCCCCAGACTGCGCCCGCGGGCTGCGCGGGCCCTGCGGGCTGCTGTCCGGGCTGTGCCGCCGATGCCTGCTGTCTGCGTCCTCGGCGCGGGCCGCCCCGTTCGTTGCTGCGGGTGCGATCTGCTCCTCTGGCGGCCCATCCGCGCAGCACCCGCTGCCTCTGCCCTGCCCCAATGCTCAGGGCGCGCCCCGCGAGGTTCGACATCAAAGAGAAGATCAGGTGGCGGAGGGGCGCGCGCGACTCTGATGTGTTCTTGCAGTGCGTGAAGTGACAAGAACTCTCCTTGGGCCTGCGCGGCTCCAGTACGGAATAGTCGTTCTCCATGCATGGGGTGGGCTCTGCCAGGATCATCGCAGACGGGGCAGAGGAGAGTCGCGGGGTTCTGCGCAGCAGGGGGGGACAGGCTGCAGTCGGCAAGGCACCCCTCGAGCTTCAACGATTGCCGCGCATGCCTCCTCGCAGGCACAACCGAGGAGAACGCGGGGCACAATAGAAGCATTGGTTGGTAACGATCAGTTGATTCAGGGTCACTCATCAACGATGCTCCGGATGATGGCACTGACGGGCTCTCCGGGGACCTCTAGTGGCGAAAACTATGTTGCGGGATTCTCCTTCACCTACTAGTAGCTCACAGACGTGTTCTCGTAGCGGGGGCCCAGGCACTGGAGGAGGCGCAGGTGCTCGAGGGTCTCTTGGAGGCCGAATAGGTTGCGACGACTTTGTCTCCAGTAGATCTTGCGGAGGCACTTGGGGCCCAGGCTGGCGAATGCTATTGCTATGCGATAGTCCGAGAATTCGTCTTTACGGTGTGGCCTCGGTCCCAGAATGCCCTTCCAGTCGGGATATTTTTGCAGGCCAACACATCTTCCTGTAACGGAAGGGCCCACGGGTTCGCTTTTTCACGGGCCCACCCTTGCGCATCAAGCACTGGCTGATCGTCTAGCGCCTGGAAGCGTCCGAAAATCGCCGCCACCACTTGTTGCGAAGCGGCCAGGCACCTCGCCAGCTGCTGCCAATATCGAACTCGTCTGATGAGCAGCTCGGTTCGCGAATCGGCGATCAGCAGCGTCTCATGCACTTGCCACGCTGGGGGGGTCCTGACTTTCTCCGTTCTATCGGCATTCGCATACCTGGCGACTCCGCGAAGGGCGACTTTGGCGAACCCGAGGACGACCGAACCCAACCCAGCGAAATCCTGGGCCAGGAGGATGCACGACTCGAGGCCCGAGAGGGGGGGCCGCGCTTTGGACCACCCCCAGGAAGGCCACGCGCTTCAGTCGCACAGACATGCGCTGGTTCCAAAACCAGCTGAGCTTACACCACGCCGAACGTGCAGCGTCTACTCTTGCTCTGATCTCAGTCCCCGCCCCTTCCGTCAACTGCCCCACCCCACCCAGGCAAGCCGCTCGCGCCCGCGGAACCCCAGGGAACTGCACGAGGCCCGGCAGGACCGCCCTGGTAGCCGCATAGCCACCTGGACCGACGAAAACAGGAAGGGCCGCCTCTTCGTCCGCGTTCTGCGCGCACCCCCCTTGGCCCGGAAGCTTTTGAGCGAGTAGATCCGACGAGGCCCTGGCGCAGCTCGCAGCACGAAACGGATTGCAATCTGGCAGCGGGAGAGTCTGCGAGACATCGTCGGCGCAGTCCCGCATCGGCAGATCCACAAGAGTGTTCGCAAACGGGCAGGCGATCAGCGCGGTCGCCTCGCGCAGAGGGACCTCTTCGTTCTTCGCCCCAAGAGGAACCATAGTCGCGGCGAGGAGCTCCTCGTTCCACGACTCCACAGGGCGCATGCAGGATCGCACAAGCAATTCACAGGCACTGCCGTCTCCCATGCCACCACCGTGACCAGAAACATAACATGCCGCCTCCGTGCCTGACCCGATCTCCATGACCGCCTCCTGGCGCCTCTGAATGAAGCACCCCTGGGCCTGGAGATCTGGGATGAGTTCCGCGACAACCGACCCAAGGGCCCCGTCGTCCGCACTAGGGAACGCGTTGCCCATGCCTTTCTCCAGCTGGAGGTGGTTCACGTTCAGTTTCCTTAGTCGCCAAGGAGTGCAACCGAGACACCAATTGTGCCCCCTGGCGGGCCCTGTGTTCAGCATAGCCACGGGCGCGGCACGGCAGGTCGGGCTTCGGGAACCTAGCAAACAGTCCTCGGTACCAAAGCCTTGCCAAAGGGGCAGAAGCAGTGAATCAACCTCATCGCCTTCGCACTCCTCTTCGCATTTCCCTGATCTAATTGGAAAAAAGTGTTCTGCATGATAATCTGAATTGCTGGAAAGGTCCAAGTAGCCGCTCACACAGCCGAGGGCAATGTACATGGCGTGGCTGTCTAGCGAGAGGGCAAGGCCTGCCTTCGTCATCCGGGGACCCCCCATGGCCTCGATGCCCTCGAGTCGCCGCGCGGAGTGCTGCGAGCCAAAGTTCGGCGGGAGCAGAATGCGCAGATGCAAACCGACGGCGAGCAGCGCTGCGGAGCGCCTGCAAGGTGTAGGTCCAGTCGTCGTAGGCCGCGGACGCTGGGTGGCCTAGTAAAGCCTTCCACTCTCCATCGGGGTCGTCTTTCTCTCGGAGCGCGGGTGCGGCAAACGCTGGAAGCTCGGGCTCAGGGACCTGCACTGTCGAGAAGACGCCCTCTGCCGCTGGCGCCTGCATCGTCTGCCCACTCTTCAATGGTGGGCTGGTAGCGCGGAAGTGCGTTGAAGCGCCTCCTGCAGACACCGCGATACCGAGCTCCAATCTGGTAAGCGAGCTTCCATACATGATTGGTGTGGCCCCTCTGGGAGGCCAGGACGGTCTCCTGCAGGAGGCGCCCAACGTTCGCGGCATCGAGTTTCTTC